TTATGTGGTATAGAATTATGAGGTTTTATGATGACCAAGATTAGCGATGTAACAGGTGGAAGACTAAGGCTTAAGTGCGAAACCCAAACAAAAACACAAAACAAATGACAAAAAATATGCAGAGACCCAGAGTTGTCGGTTTTTTTACATCATCGTTATGCATCTTCTGTTTATATGATTTAGAAAAAAAAACAGCCCTTTGCCCCATTCGAAAAGAAATTCAAATGGTTCATCGGTTCCACCGTATGCTCTCATTGTTTTTTTTTTTTTCTTCATTTGATTCAGTCTGTCGTGCACTCTCTTACGGTAAATTTATTTCATATGTAAAGGACTGGTAAGGTTTTGCACGTTGTAGCGAATTAAACCACATGCTCCACTAAGGATGTTTTTGGGAACCTATACTCATTGCGTCGCTCCTTTGGTTTTTAATGTAATTTATTGAAGAATCTTGGTACTTCGAATTCTCACACGGAGGAACAATCCAAGATTCGAGGCAATTAACAGAAAACCACTATAAATACATTGATGGTCATTATTACATAAATGAAAACTCTCATTTGTAAATACTCTATACCTTCGATAGTTTCATATTGAGTGTGCAACAGACTAACTCAAGTCCGTTGATTTAGGTTTTTTCCCGTCCGTTGATTCACTTGGTTAGGTACTACACGTTGAAGTAATTTCATAGATGTATTTAAGGTAAACAACAAGTTTCAAATAATAATAACTACCCAATACTAAATAAGAAAAAACAACAACAACAACAAAATTACACAAAAATATACCAATTTTGTCAATTGGATCTTTGTGTTAACTTTGAAATTTTCTTATGATAGAAACATGACAATTCTTCCTATTTATTTATAGTTATTCAATAAAAAATTGTTTTAGTCGCTACCCCTTGTTATGTGTCACTCCTCCCGTGATTACGAAGTCAAAGTTTACACACCAGATTGTTAGTCGTTCGAAGTGTCACTATGAACACATCTTTAACGAGAGAAAAAATAATATTATTATTACAGTTCACTGGATCTTATTTAAAAGATTGAAATACATTTATGAAGTAAATGTATTTTAATCTATTAAATAAAAATCATAAGTTTGGAAAGTCGTGTGATGGGCCATCTCGCACTTTGTCCGCGTGGCAACACAAACCCAATAAAAGTTGTTACAATCATTAATAGTAAAATGACCACTAGAGTCATTTGTGTTTCACAGTTTTCTACTAACATTTGTCGTGCTTCATATATTTTACTCCTGATTGTGTCCAAAATAATTATTTGGAAAACGCCAAAGTACGTCATTTCCTTTCAAATCACAATCTAGCGCCTCGTGTTATCATTAAAACCAACAACCTAATATACTTAGAACGATGCATTGTAAATGGTTCGCATTACCTTAACACCCGCGCACGTTGTCCCTAGTATACTTAGAAAGATGCATTGTAAATGGTTCCTATTACTTTAAGACCTGTGCACGTTGTCCCTCTCCCAAACCTAGTTTTATCAAGCAAGAAACTCAATTCTGCCACTATACCAATCAATTTTCATTTACTTTTGTAATCTTCTTCTCTTTGGTCATTATGTCGATGGTAATGATGATAAACAATCTTAGCCTCACCGTGCACTTAATGTTATACCGAAGGACACCATCCTTATTTACTGCATCATCCAATTCATAAATAATCTTTCATTAATCATGCCCACTTTCAATGACACCCCTAAATGAAGTCCTCACTCTCAACTTCGTTCCCTATGTACAAATTTCATATATCAATAGAGATGCCCTCATCGTGCCAAGTGTGAAACATCCTTTCGTTAAGTGGTTATCCTTTGATCGTACTGTTAGAGGACTTACAAGGATTAAAGTGAAGTTTCCATCGACACCATTATTTACCCTATCTGCACCATTCTGACACATTTAATAAAGAAATAACTTTCACTATATTTTATAACCACAGTTATTCAACCGACTTATATCAGCAGCTTGATACTTGTTGGAGACATGATGAGTGTTTTCATCCTTTAAATTAGCCAACATATTTTGGGTTAATTGTAACTCGTAAACGCTTGAAATATTATATTTTATTGACGAGTGAGCCTAATCACCCTCTGCTTGTTATCTTTTTTTTTTTGCCCTTAGGTATTGTGTTTATCTGTTAGGGTACAACACATTGTGTTGTATGGATATAGTTTATAGGTAGACTTCCTACATCCTCACGCAAACGACTTACATATTACCATCACTATAATATTTAGTGGCAACTTCACAACATGTACTATTGAGTATAAGATTTTTTATATATTCATATCGCTATCATATTTACTGCCAACTTACAAGGTGTATTTTTCATTGTTTTTTATTTTTCATTCAACCAACCACCAAACACACTATACAACTAGAGAAACAGGTTTGACGTTTTTATTTTTTTTTAATATTTTAGTAACATGAAGATTATATTTGATATTATCTTCAATAAATTTTTTATCCCATTCGTAAGATTTGACCAGTACAAATTATGACTGAAATAACATTGTCAATTGAACAAGAAATGTCAAATATCTGGTATTACTTTAAATATCACACTTGTTGAATTATTATTCATTTGTAATGTATTCATTGATATAATAAATATGTTATTAACACCAACTAAATTTTACAATTTTTTGGTCAATAAAAAATTACCATGCACTTTGTTACGATTTTTTTGCAGAAACATTGAGTTGCTTTACCTTCAACCTACTCGATTTAATACGTTGAATCTTTATTAAAAACAAAATGCACATTTACATGTCTTTTATTTGAACTTTTATTTTTTCAAGCGACATAACACATATTGTATACCTGGATAATATCTCAAGATTATCAAAAAATCCGAGCCCCTCCCCCCCCTCCTTATAAACAAAGGTGATATTGTGCTTATCAAATATAACAGAATTATGCTTTCAATTCATCAAAAGCTTGATTGGTCATCAAAACATTCAAAGAGATTACAAATAGGAAATTAATGGGCTTAAAGAGGGCGTGGAATATTTGTTTATCTCAATATTGTTTAGTTATTTTATTTTATTTCTAATTTCTTTTTCTATTTGGATACCAACGATAACATCAAACCAGAAATTATTTGTTTTATTTACATTTACAACATGTTTTTTTTCATATTTTTTATTTGTTTTCAAGGGGTAAAAAAACTATTTTGCAAAGGGGCCGGTTTTGTATACTCGAAGTTAATTCGAATATTTCATATCGATTCAAAATTCATGATAAAATTGGTCTGCCGAATATCCAATTGCGCTACTAACCTTTAAAAAGTAATGATGTATCTACTACTTTTGTACCCCGCGCTTCTCATTTTACCTCTTAGCCATTCAGAAATGATATCTTTCATATCCTACGTGAGCAATCGAATGTTAAGACATTTGTGATGTACATGACTGATTTCGAATATGGCTATTAACCTGTGTAGGTTCATTGGGAGATAAATGCTTATTATTAATGTATTTGCAATTACCCATTATATCATCAGACCCTTACATTTGGCTTATATAAAATTACAATCTATTTTGGTAGCTTTCTAAATAATGTTGCTCATTTTATAAACAAGGTCAGTATAAATACATTAATTATTGAGCTCTCCTGTGTCGATTTCCCCTTCCTCGTCATCACAAATACATTAAAATATTATATTTGAATCAACTTCATTAATAGATTAACATCATCAAGCATTACCAATAAATTGTTTTACGGCGGTCTCAACAATTTATCATCCCTACGCAATAGCATTGTCGGTGCGAATACCAATACTAGGGTATCCGCCCAAGTTTTTACAAGTGATGAGAAATAGAGTTTGAATTGAAGATAGGAAGCGTTAAGTGGAAAAAAAAAAAGAGCGTCGAGTGAGTTGTGCTCGTTTTTCTTGGCGGCCAAGAACACATATGAGTATTGGAGGGAAAGTAGAGGTTGTGTGGACGTGCAGTTTTGGAGCACGCATGATTTTGATAAGATGTCAGCTGCCTTTGTTGCCGATGAGTTACTATTTTTAAAATAGGGTAAGTGGAAAATTTTCCTTTCCGACTTGTATTGCTATCCGTGACGCTTGTGCATGTACGACACTGAGCCTCGTGCTTGCCGTTATTGCGGTTAGTCGACACCTGGAGGGTAGTCACCTATGATGTTTGCGCATCGTCAAGGCTAAATGGTAATATGGTTTTGGTGTAGTATATTAGTGCATTAACGACCAAAAATGAGGAATGACATGCATACGATCTTGATGAGGCCAATGTTGCCTCACATGCCCGACTTCCTTTTTGGGTGACGATGGTGTATGCGGCAAAGTATGGCCTTGGTGCGCTTTTGCAAGGCCTGCTCACTGTGCGGGTATTCTTTATGTGCCCGCTAGGTTCATATAAGAGAGCGCAAACGGGTATCCATTGCCCATACTGGACCGTGCCCAACTGCAACCGCCAGGTTACGGGTAGGGCTGGGTACCCCTTCCGAACGGCCCGTTGGGTATGGGCAAGGAAAAACATATAGTGGTCTTTGTTAGGTCAGGTACATTAGCCCTTGATGGAGGTAGTGGAAGCCAAAAAAAAAAAAAATCGTTATCGGCGACGGGTACGGGTGGCAGAAAAAAAAATGGAGGGAGGAGGTAGGTAGAGGATCCAGTCCGGTAACCGTGGTAAACCTACCTATTCCAACCCACCGTAACCCCCCTCTTCCCCCCTATCCCACCACCAGAACTCGTAGGCCCAATTTGTTTTTACTGCTGCCTCGTTCAGAGTCCTGAGCGGGCAAACTCTCTCCCCCACCTTCCCTCTTCCACGTCATCATCACCATCCCGCTCCTCCACGTTTTTGTCCTACTCCCGCTCCTTGTCTTTCTTCATGTCATTGACCTCCTCCCAGGCTCCCACTGCTCCATGTCATTGTCCTCCCACTCCTCCAAGTCATCGTTCTCCTTCACAATTTTGTCCTCCTGCTCCTCGTCCTTCTTCACATAACCGTCCTTCTCCCGCTGCTCCTCACGTCATTGTCCTCCCGCTCCGCCTCCTCCACGTCATCGTTTTCCTCCCGCTCCTCCTCCTCCACGTCACCATTCTCCTCCCGCGTCATCGTTCTCCTCCCGCTCCTCCATGTCATCGTACTCCTCTCGCTCCTCCTCGTCATCGTATCCTCCCGCTCTTCCTCCTCCACAACATCGTCGTCCTCCCGCTTCTCCACCTCCGCATGTCTATCCACCAAAAAAAAAAAAAAAAGGCGATAGCCTTGGAATATCATCGTGAAACTGACCGACGGACTTTAGTCGATTCGGTTGCAGCTGGATTCGAGCTTAAATCGGTAGTTCAATAGTTTATGGGTATAGCAGCTCAGTTAGGCCAGTTGGTCTCCACCACGTCACCGTCGTCCTTCTGCTGCTCCTGGTAAAGTCTGTCTGTGCGATGCTTAGTTGCAAGTATTCGGAGTTTCCTTGGGGTTGGTCAAGCTTTGGGCCACCCTAGCCCATTGAGTGCTTTACCTCTTGCAATGTCTGTGCGATGCT